ATGATGCTGAATCCCGCTTCTCCCTCCTGGGAGCAGCCCCCTTCTTCCCTCCCAGGCGTGCATCTCCTGAACTCTAACGGTTCCCACAAGGCTTGCAAGCAGGGGAGCAGCTCATCCCGGGCTAAGCCCCCTGCACCTGTCTCCAAGGCCCCCTTTTCTCTGACTCTCCACTGAGCTGACAGCAGCCCCCTTGGCTCACTTCTCTCCCATAACATTTCTAGGGAGCCAAAGCAGCCCCGCTTAGGCTCCCTCCTGTGGCTTCTTCTATCCTGGGCCCTTCTTGTTTCACTGTCCCAGCTGTAACAAACATCCTCTCAAAATCACCAGGGCTTGTGCTGTGAAATCTTTCCTGCAGGAAGAACCCACACACTGCCGGCCGGCCTGAGGCAGACCCTCTCCAGTCCCGGTTTGCAGTAACAATTCTACGGAGTCCTAAGTACAAGTCATGCTGAGAATAGGGCTGACAGTTGCAAACCACCTTATAGCATCCCAGTGTTCCTTTATCTTTCAGCTTCCATGTGCTTGATGCCATCCTTTCAAGGTTATATTTAAAGGGCTTTCATAGGAAGCTCTTTAAAAATTAAGGTTGGGCATTTTTGTTCTATATAAGCTCATACTTCTTTGTGCTTTCCAGTTAGCCTGAAATCTCTGAGGTATCCAGGTGACCAAAAAAAAAGAATGCTTAATTCAGCAGTTATATATATATATCACCTAATACTATCTTATCACATGCTAAAACCCTAAGAAGTTCCAGGGAGAAAAAAAATACAAGAATGCGGGCTCAGGACCTCCCTGGACCACTGAGAATAGCTAACAGTAGAGTCTATTGAGATGTCAAGTTTTACTCTGTTTAACCCCAGACCAGGGAGTATCCTCGCTGTGAGAGTGAGGGTCCTTGACCTCCATAACCTGCACAACACTCTCTGCCTTGTTACACACAGGGTTCCCTGTGGCAGTTAGCATTATGCCCTTATAAAGAAAGGGCCTGTGCAGTACTTGCTTGGGGCATTGCAAGGCAGCAAGCTGGACAGGCTCCCCTGCGGCTAGGCTTGCAGCAAGGGGAAACCAAGAGCTTGCTTAGGCAGTGACCTCTGTGGGCTGAGAGGGGTCTGACTGAGCCGCCTGGGGCCTTTAGATCTGTGAGAAACCTCCTGGGGTGGAGGAGGAGGACCAGGGGTTACACAGGACAGAGTTCTGTTGTTCCCAGCAGGGCCCCTGAATTCTTCCTGCCAGAAAATGTTCCAACCACAGCAGCATTATGATAAAAGTTAGCGAGGCAGCAGCAGCAAGCAGCCTTTATCTGGAATCAGGACTTTCTGTCTGACTTCACTCTTCCAGGAGAAAAAAGGAACCAGTCTTGCTTCTCTGCTGTTTCTCCAGGCCCATTACAGCGAGGTGGTTGAGAAATGAAAGCTTTTACTCCATTCTGTTTGGCAAGTGTTTGAGAACAGGGTAGGGCATACTTTTTAAAAGCAGGAATTAAAGACATTTCATCTTGTGTCTACAGCAGACTGGAATGCTGACCTGCTGAACTGTGCCAAATGTTTTTGTTTTCTAAAATGTTTTGCACAGTGAAAAACTGACATTGCTTGCTGCTTGCGGGACAGGTAAAGTTTGATGGACAATTCTCAGTTTGAGCATTTTAGGAGCTTTCCTCTCATGGTTACAAAACTGTCAGCACATCCACTCATTTTTCACACCTGGTCCATTTAAGAGCTAGATGTTCATTCCATCTATCTTCTTATTTTATAGATGAGAACTTGTGTCCAGAAATCTTCAAAGACTTGCCTAACAGAAGCAGATAATTAATGCCTGAACAGATCCACCTAGAACCCAGGGAGCCACCACCTTTTCTTCTCTTTCACCACTCCAGCATTTTCCAACACATATCCCAGAGAGCACCAAGCCGGCAAGGATCTGGGCAAATAAACCTTCCCAGAAGTTTGGGGCGTGCTGCATGCACTCTCCCCTTCCCGGGAGAGAGCCTGAGAGGCAGTGAATGCTTCAGGGAAGTCCGACAGCGGAGAAACCGCCTTGACTTTGTCTAAGCCAGCATCCCCTAGACTCAATGACAGCAGAATTCTGTTTCAAATATAATCTCTACCCTACAGAAATGCTTTGAGAAATGCTGTGCCTTGCCAGGCTCTCACCCCTACCCAGTGTTTCTCTGTAGTTCCTATTTAAAACATTTCTAAAAGCTTCTATGACTATATCCTTCACATTAAAGAAAAATCTAAGACTTGAGTAATGAGGAAGATATCTGACATTTCCTTAATATTATTGTTTCAATGTCATTTCTATTTTAAGACTACAGAAGTTTGTCAAATAGCATCTAGAAAATGAAGTGAAAAGGAAAAAGACATTTAAGATTCCACCAACTAGACATCATTGTTATTTGTATTTCCTTCCAGGCTTTTTATTATTATTTTAATCCTCACCTGAGGATATTTTTTCCATCGCTTTTCAGAGAGAGTGGGTGGGGGGAGATTGAGAGAGAGAGAGAGGAACATCAGTATGAGAGAGACACATAGATTGGCTGCCTCCCAGGGCTGGGATCGAGCCTGCAACCCAGGGATGTGCCCTTGGCCAGAATCAAACGCAGAATCCTTCAGTCCACCAGCCAGTGCTCTAACCACTGAGCAAACCAGCCAGGGCTCCTTCCAGGCTTTTAAAAGTGCATGGTGATTTTTATAGCATTG